AGCAGGAATAATACATCTTCTGTGAACTTCAAAGTGCCTGTGGTGAGAGAGTGAGCTTGATAACTCCAGCTAACTAGCTGTAAGATTATCAACACAATTATAATAAGGAATAATTATGTATTTTGCTTAAATGGTAAAAATTCACCCTTAATTACAGAAGATGAATTTTTACTGGAATCTGTAATTTCTTCTAAATTGAAATACAGTGAAAGGGCAAATGTAGAAACACCTCTTCACTAAGTATAATTTCCACTTCTACCTTATCAGCTACAGTTTCCTTTTCTTTAGAGCAAATGCCATGCTACTTTTCAACAAGCTTCAAGATCTCACCCTGCCAACAAGGACAAGACTACAGCTGTTACTACTACACTAGCATAATACAACCTATGACATTAATACCCATACTATCTTCTCATCTCTTTTAGCAACAAATTAACCTGTTCAACAACAGATTTCCTAACTCCTTTTCTTCTAGCTACCTTTCAGGAACATTCTTATTCCTCCAACTTAGTAGCAAAATCCCACAACACAGAAGGGTGTCTTGGAATTGAAGGACTCTCTGTGTATACACAATATAAGTCAAAATTCACCTGTTAAAATTCGATGCAATGGCAAAGTGATGTAAGTTAAGTGTGCATAGAGTAGAAAGTTTTCATCTGTTCTGTTCAGCTTCAGCCACGAGCCCACCAGAGATCGTCCTGTTCCAGACAAGGACCGCGACCGCAGGTTTGTCGCGTTGTGCAGATCTGGGAAGGTAGAAGACAGCAAGTTTAAAGTGACTCTGCTTTATTGGAAGACCCAATGAAAGCTTCTGAACATAAAAAAAAATAAAAGCCTACTATTCATTGTCTAGAGAGAAATCCCATACTGGTCACTACTATTATTATTTTTAATTTTTGTAAACCACTCAGATCTGGCCCAGCAGAGAATTCATCATTTACACTGAAGATAATTAATTGTATCAGCAACTGGCAGCAGTTGTCAATAATTATCCACTAACAGACCAGCCAGGAGAGGGAATGAAGATTTTGCTACCACACTGCACAGGCAGAATCCTAACCCAGCCTTCTCTCATATACAAAATAGAATAACCCTACAATTAGGTAGTTACTCATGCAGAAATTCTTCAGTTTAAGAGAAGAAAAACTGTATCATGAATATAACTGACATCTGCAAGATGGAGGAAACATTAAAGGAAACAAGACAGAGTCAGCATTAATAACCCAGTTTATTACAGATTTCCATGCAACCCCCACACCAAGCCTGGGAACCTTCAGCAGTGCTATTCCCATAATTAGCGTAGAGGTCTACAAATAACTTTTAAAATAAAAGGATGCTGAATCCACTGTAAGCTAGAGGTGTTTTTTTATAGCTGAAGGTCTTTGCCACAGCCAGGAACACACATGCCATATATTTTGAGTGTTCCTAAACCTTCCCTCCATTCCCCTGTAAGAGTCAACCCTGTCCCACAGTGCTAAAAGCAGATATCCAAGTGAACACAATAATTCTGATCCAGTGCAATCCAAGCTCTGGGACACATTTGTTTAAAAGTGGGTCCTGATCTACACAAGGTGGTTCTAGCACAGGAAAAAAACCATAATAGCAGCTACTCTAGGAAGGTGTTTACCAAGGCAGGAGCTAAAAACCTCTTGTTTTCCCTCCTTATCTATAAACGTGTATAGCCAAGCAGTCTATTCCCTCCTCTCATATATCACCACTATGCAAACAGCACTGTGGTGATCAGGCCAAAAAGACCTGACTCCAGTAGCTGGAATAAGCCCAATTCTGCTGCTGCATCATGCTTGCACACAGCAGAAGTGAGTGAAGTGGGACCTCATGGGCTGCCACTATCCACAACAGGTCTGCGGGCTCTGGGAGCAGGTCTGCAGCAGCACTGGCCAGACCAAGGACACTGCTGATCTTCAGACAACCAAGTTTTCCTCCACCCACAAAGTCAAGATGCACCCAAAGACCTCTGCTTCTACAGTTCACCCAGGGATGGGCTTTTTGAAGGTGGCTTTCCTTTCTGAAACAAGAGAATTTCATGACTGCATCGCCTGAGCAAACACTGGTAAGAGCATTCAGGTTTCTGAAATTTGTAAGTAAGTCTCATTTTAGTTACTTTTCCTAGTTGAAATCCCATCTTTGAATACATTAAACTTCCTAGTTGTTAAAATATTCCTCTATTTTTAGGACCAGGAACAATAAGGTAAAACTATATTTATAAATAAATGAAACCACCATTCTCAGTATTTTATATGCGTGCTACAAAATATAAGGAAAACCTGAAATCTGTTTACTTCTGTAATATATAAGAAATAAAATAAAATAATAATAATGTTAATAATTATGATGAAGTACACTAGGATCAGACCTGGAAAACAATCTTTGAGCAGACACTACCACCATCCATTAGGGTGGCAGATAAATGCCTTAAGCTCCATTCTATCCTGTGTAGTCTCCAGGAGAAAGACAATAAAAGCAGGATTTCATGGGGGAAACTGCCCTTTCTCCCCACATTATGTAGTAATTGACCCAGGTCCTAACCTTTCCCGAATAAAACATGTTAAAACACATCTCATTTGAATGAAAAGATGGTTTTGGATAGGCAAGTAAAGGAAAAGGAGATGAGGAAAGGTTTTTATCAATGCAACTGAGAATTAGTTACAACCACTTCAAGTTGCACAGAATTTGAATTAAACATTATCACTTAAGTGTTTTGTTTGCAACACTTAAGTGTTTTAATATGCATTTCTATATTAGGTAAGCTGGCCCAGTATCACTGATGGATAGTACTACAAACACAACTTGTGATCTGGAAACTACCTCTGTGTTTACCTATTAGCATGCCAACAGATAGTTAGGTCTTTTTCTGGCTTTGCTACCAAATAGTTTTCAAACACATGAAAAGCAGTTTGGACTTCAACATTTTTGAGTTTCCCACCTAACAAAACTGTGATATGATTGGATTTATACAGTATATTCTGCATCAGACTCAACTTTTTTATCTTGTTGGTTGTTTCGTACAGAATAACTAGAATTCAAAGGAAGAGTTCCACAAGGTGTTAAACCATTACATAAGCAAATAAATTAGGTTTTCCTTTTAGAGAGTTCAGAACTGATGCAAAGCCAGTTAAAGCAAATGCCTTTTCATCAATATTAAGGAAGTCTGAATCAAATCAGGCAATAAAGAGAACTTGTCCCTGAGAGCATGCTCTACCCCACTACACTGGGATACCTGGAAGAGAGAGACCTGAGAGTGTGTTATTTGTGAAAGGGAGAGGATGTTTCCTGCTCAAGTTTCTTTCAAATGGGATTATATAAAAGGCTGAGATGAGTTTTAAACATATGTAGGAATTGTTGGTCTCCAGCCTTAAAACAGATGCCAAGTCTGAGAATAACCTCCATTTCAGAGTGGCACTAGTGTTGGACTCTGTGGAGCTAGGTTCCTCACACTGCAAACCTTGAGTAAAATCCAGCATAGGGATCCCTTTCCATAGCTCCGTGCCCTCCCCAGACAAGTCTGCTTAGCTGATACCACTTGTCTCACCTCCACCATCATCATCTCTGAAGAACTCCTCACTGTCATTTGCTGAGTGGGATTTTTTCATTTCAGCAATTCGATTTCGGGGCACTTTTCTCTTGAGGGATGGGGAGAAAAAGGATGGGCGATTGTTGCGTTCTGGGGTTGGTGGTGTGCTGAAAGAAGTGACCTGAAAGGGAAATACAACAAACGCTAGAAAAAGTTTTGTAGAAAAAGTTTTCTTTAAAAAGAAGTTCTGTGCTTCCAGGAAGAAATAATCAGTCTCAAACACATGCCATGAGGCGGTCGTGTGTAAAAATCAGAATCATGACTAATGTCTAGCTGTAAGTTTTATCAGAGTGGCCAAAGAGTGTTCAGTGAACAGTCATCTCAGCTTCAAGATGCTCCTTAAGATGAAAATGCTTTGATATATCACCACCTTCAACTCTTATGTGAATAATGAACAGCTCTCTCCTTAGATTTTACTCGTTTTTATAAACGAGTATTTATAGTCATAAAGAAACAAAAAAACAGATTAATCATTTAGGCACTAAGAAAAAAAATCTTATTTTTGCTTGTTGAAATTCATAAGACTACGTAACTTAAGATTTGCACTGGACATACTTAAATTCATTTCTTTGGCAAACACAAGGTAGTAGTTTCCCTGCTTAGAAGGATGCTACATGGGATTACTGTAAAGGTAACAGAGTCTCTGTGAAGTAGGGCCACAAGGCAATTACTTAACCCAAGATGCTGATGCAACAGCACAGTCAAGGTACAATTATATCTATATCATATTTCAAGATGGGATGGGGAAAAACAAGTTGAAAGGCTCCTGATGATTTGGCTAGTCTAAGTGATGGCAAATATAAGGATATAATTGTCTATGTTGAAACACAGGTTAGGGATGAAACTACAGAAACACCCATCCTTCAGAGCAGTAGTTGCAGAGTAGTAGTTGGCCATAGCTATTTCAGAAAGAACTGGAATTCACTGCTTATGCTAGTAGTATGTTAATAGCCTCATTTCAAACAACCAAATAAAAAAGAAAACTACTTTGCTAATGGAGCTGAAAAACTTCTACCTCATCCCTCCTTCTTCATGGTTAATTTAATAATCGTGTAACTCTTCCTGAGATGAGAACTGATACTGCTTCCACTTGTCCATAAAAATAAGGAGGGAGATGACATGTGATGACAGACAAACCAGGCTGGTGTTGCACTGCAGAAACACTGTGTTGTCCCTCTATCACTAATGTATAAAAAACCCCAACTAACAAAAAAACACCCCACAACAAACAAACCAAAACCAAACATCAAACCACCCCAAAATCCCAAAGCACAAGCATTCTACTGTCCAACCCATCCTCTCTGTAGTGCACTTGGTCTCTGTGCTTCTCTCTAATTCTGAAACCTTTTCATATCACACCTGGAGGGAAAACCGGAAACAGACAAATTAGCATTAAAACCATTAGCAAAAAACCAAGAATACATTATTCATATGTATTCTGACATTCTCCACTTAACACTGGAAGTCTTGGAGCCAAAAGTTCAGGAAGTCCCTCCAGGCCTGATTTCTCCAGGCTACATCACTATGGTAGAGAGCAGGCACACCCAGCTAACAAGGTCTGTGATAGGAGTTCATGTTGCCTTTTAGGAAGCCAGAAACCAAATCACACAGCTTGCATGGCGACCTTTAAAAGCAGTCCTGCAGACCTGTGAACTACACAGGTTAGCTATGCTATGCAGGAAATCAGACTAGAATCCATCAGGAACTTGACAGCCAAGGTCAGGACACATCTGTGCAGCTATTTTGAAGGCATGTTGCCTAATCTCCATTAACTAGGTAAAATGCCTTAACTGAAAACAAGTCTCAGAAGTGAATAGCCAAATCAGCATCTACGGGCTAATTCTATTGGTATTTTACTGCACTTGCATTAAAATTAAGCATATGTATAAACACGGTACTGCATCTAGTTCTGTAATCTTTGCTTTAATGTTACACAGGCTTCACATTGGCAGCATTTTACTTGTGGCAGTATTTCCTACAAGTACTCTTTCCTATGAGGTCTAGCAAGCAACCTACATAATATATGAATTCCATATTTCTAGGTAAATCCCATCTTGTACAGAAATGGAATATATTAATTTTCATAGAAAACGGGCGGAATCATCATTTTTCCTGGCATCAACATCACTGCTGTTTCAACAAAACACTCCTCCAGAAGTATGAATCATCCAGTTGTCTCTGTATTCAGTATTTGCTCAAGGGAAACCACCAAAAATCCATCTGCATATGCTATGTAATTTAAAATTATATACAGGCAAAACTGAGTTCAGAACCTTGGTGCAAGTTAATCCCAGCTCCAATTAATCTATTAGCTTTGAAACAAAACATCTTCAATGCTTAACCATCAATGAGTATTTCTGTCTGCTACTTACTCTCTCATGCAGTGGGGATTCTGGGTTTGAATCTTCTTCTGTCCCATATGGTGAAGTGTCACCAGTGGAAACTCTGCTCACTGCCATCTCTGCATGTCCTTTCCCTTGTGGCCCTTTCATTCGGACAAACTCCATGTTGCTGTATTTATAAAAGCCGAAAGACATTCTCTGAGCCATCTTAGCTGCAACGCTCACCTACAATACATCAAGACAGGAGAGAAAACCATGTAATATCATCATCTCCATGCTTATTTTTTAAAAAACAACCTTCTCTGAAAGCAGTTATCTGAGTCAAAAACAGTGGATAATGGTCATTATCTTGATTCTGAAGATGCATGTTAAATCACAACTTGAAGTGAATTCCAAAAGGGAGGCAATTTTACAGATAGGAAGTCAGAGGCTCAGAGAAGAATCAATTCCTTCAGCTACCCAAAAAAAAAGCAGTTACCCAATGGCACGCTTCGATAAAATAAAAGGTTTTTATCCAGACCCACAGAACATGGCACACCACAGCACACGCAGGCACATGCACAACTCAGCCTGTGCAGGGACACTCGTTGAAATCCAAAAAGCAACAAACACACAAATCAGATGCCCCAAAGCAGCAAAGCTCAGGGCACAACTGTGGCCCTACTTTGTGGCAAGTCAATTCAGACATGTCTGCGTCCATATTGTCAAGCCCAGAGCACAAAGAACCAGCCCCCATGCACGACAAACCTGCATCGCATTGCTCGCCGCAAAACCCTGACAGCTTTTGAACCCTCTCAACAGACAGAAGGGCCCAATTTCCAGTTAACACAACTGAACTGAAAACTGAACTGAGAACTGAAAAAAGGAACAGACCAATATGAAAACAGTCAAGGTTTTTCCAAGTGAAATAAGTAGGACTTATCCATAAGTTTAAGTGGTTTATTACAACTCTCAGCAGTTAATTGCCTGAAAGAGCCAAGATGCTCATTGTGTACAGTATGCAACTCACAGTGTACTAAGAATTAATGGGCACAACTGAAATAAAGTAACCTTCAAAAGCACAGATGGCTTGCTTTTGTTCTAGCAACAGGTCAAATTTCAAGTTTTTCTTTTGGTCATAATTGAGTATTTGATGATTTAAATTTTTTTTTTTCATCTAACAAAACAATGCAAAGTAGCAACACAGTCAAACAGGGCATTCCTAGGCTACAGGGTGACACTGCCACATTGAATCTTGTCTTTCCACTGCAAGGATATCTTCTTATTTTTCTTCCCTCTGTGATTCTGCATTCCCGTTTATTTTAATAACCCATCTGCTGATTGTGAGGCCGTAATATTATCGTGGGACATAGACAAAATATCAAGTTTCATGTTCTCTTGAAAAACTGCTTTGAGAGTGTAAACTACACACATTTAAAACAGGGAGAAGGGAAATTTTTCAGCATCTTTCCTGAAAAATGTAGGGAGAAAGGAAAATTATGTTTACAGTCACAATAGGTATTGGCGGTGTTTCATTGTTTGTGTTTTCTTTTTAAAAATTGTTTTCATAGCAAATGGAGAGGTTTATTGGCTCTTGCACTCCCTTGACTTCAGCACTAAGCACTGAATTTTAAGCTTCAAGTGCTGCCATTTTATGTTTCTATAGGAAAGCAAAGCAGCCTTCTGTGGCTGTGAAACTGCAGTGACCTGCTGGAAACACCGTGAGTATAAAACAAATGGAAGAAAAACATGTTTTACATATAGCAAGGTAGCTATCAGAGTTTCAGATGTCCCTGAAAAACATCCCTTCTCTGAAGTAACTAGAAATATCTGTGAACTCTCAAGAAAATAAAGGGGCTCCCAGAACTCTGCTATTCAGATCCATTCCTGTGTTGTGCTGTTGGCTACTTATCAACTTCACTGGTTTTGGCAAAAAACAGAGTAATATATTCTGATCTGAACACTTTCAGCTGTCTGAGCCAAAAGCACTAGTTTTCAGGGAACTTTCAAAGCCAAAAAGGACAGATTACAATGCAGATGACTTAACAGGACAAAAAGCTAACAGTCTCAGCAGCAAATTAAAACTGTGATCAGAGTCTCACTGTTGCAAAGGATGTTGTCTTTCAAAAGCGCCTTACCCTGTTGTCATAGACCTTCTTGAGTGCTTCATAGCGGATGGACCCCTGAAAAATCACCCCTTGGAAGGTGTTGCTTTTGTCACTGGCCACCAGCTCTACACAGACCATTTCTCCTTCTCCCACAGTCATGTCACTGAAAACCTGTCAAAGATGCAAGATGAAAGACTTGAAGGCAAACTGCAATTGTTAAACTTAAAACACATTCAGAAACCCATGATTCTCCTTAGGTTCAAGGCACTTTCAATGCACATGGGAGAAAGCAAGGGAGCTGTACACTCCCCTCCAGCCTTTCAAAAAAACCCAAAACACTAGACTTCAGGCATTATACAATGCAAACCATTTCTTAAGAGAAGCAGCTCCCACATCAATAATCTGTCTTACTTAAGCCCATCATAAAGACAGATGATAAATCCAGCTTTAAGCTCATATTTCAAACAGTAGAAAAAGAGGAAGGCTGAATAAAATAAAAATGACTGAAATTAGCCAAGAACATTTGTTCAAAAGGTACAAGAAAACAGCTAAGATATAAGACCAGAGTAGGACAAAACTGCTGCTGCAACAAAGAACTCACCTCTTCAAAACTGTCAATCATGAAGAATATGTTGGGATAGCTGATCTTTGACTCCTCTCCTTTGCTGTCCATTGGGTGTTTGCTAGGAGATGCAAACACTTGCTAAGAAAAATATGGAAAAAAAAGAGCATCATCTTATTTAAATGCACACAGGAATGAATGCACTGAATACAAGGCAAGCCATCCAAAACACCACAGTTCAACACTGCTCAGCCAGCCAACATTTGCAATTCTACTATAGATGCGGACATCCTACAGGCAAAGCTGAGCTGGTTTCATGTTCTGCAATAATGACAACACTTGTCAAATATTTGAATTTCCACATTCAAGTTATCAAATACCAGTTGCTTCATGGTAAACATCCCTCTGTGTGCCTGACCTCTCACCATACTATGGTACAGCTGAGGTATCCTCCTTTTCGTTAACAAAGAAAACCACCTTGAGCTGCCTTTAAGTTACTGCAACATACTGTAAAGTAAAAAGCACGCACAGAAAGAAAGTGCCTGTGGAGTAAGCTGACCTAACATTGTTTCTTTACACAGTTAATTTCATTGTTATAGTTCACTTAGTACTATGAAAGATGAAAGATCAACCTCAGTAAAGGGAAGCATGGCTCTCGGGAGGACAAGCACTTGATTTCTCATCCTCATCTTCTGCTTCTGGTTCTGTCTCTATCCACTGTGCTTCCTCTTGCATGTTCCTCCCTCTGAAGCAGTTCCTGAACTCCTTTGGTCTTTTCACTCCTCAAAACAACTGCTGTTTAAGTAACTACAAGCATTAAATTTTATCATTTCAACAAGATTAACAATCAGGTAAAGAGGAAAAAGAATTCACACCAAGTAGCTTTCTTCACTTCCACCTCTGTTTACAAAGATTTGAATTAAATAAACTGGTCAAATCTTAGTCCACTGTGAATGTGTTGAAAGCTCTGAGTCTGTCCAGATTGTCTGGCCTGTGATACTCTTTCTACAAACAATTCAACGCAAAACATAACTAGAGGTAGGGTATTAGATATTCATGAGAGTGTTGCTTTTCCTTATTTGTACTTATGAAGCCTACCTGCACACTCAAATACAGCTTATTAAAAAGAAAGGTTGCTTCATGACAAGAAACAGCATTAGAAAGAAACAAGACTCCTCAAAGACAATACTTGCACCAATGCCTGAAGTAAGGACATCTTCCAGGCATCCTTGTTCTCACGCAGTTCAATGTAAAGCAAAAAAAACCAGCCCTAAACTCATCTCCAGTGAGTCACATCTGAGGACAATACAGTTTGAAGAGATCTTATTGTTAAGCCAGCAAAGAATCAATGTAGTTTGCAGAATAATTTAGGGCAAAGTCATCCTTTCTCAGGCTGGCTTTGTGCCCTAGGTACTATACTGGTATGAACACAGCAGCTCTGTGATAGCTCTGGACAACACAGCAAGTCCTGTGCCTGAACAGGGCTTCACTTCTACCTTTTCAACATCTGGCTGCACGCTGACAGGATAATGTATATTTTCTAAAGCAAGAACCACCAGGGCAGTAATACAGCTCCAGAAGAGCTGGCTTTTGTTCCTTTAAAATTAAGAGCATGGTGCATGTTGCAATGAAATACCCTACTGCAAATATGCTTTCCACAATACATACAACTGCCTTTTCTCTCTCCATAAATCAGCTTTGTGATGTTGAAATGTTACTAGTATGCACTGGTAAGTTTTAATGTGTGCCAAGTATCTCCTAGGAAAGGGGAGAAAAGGAAAAATTTGTAAGCAGTTCTACAGTATAATCCTCTATGAATGAGGAACAGAAATCACCCTCCTTATTCTGAACAATGCTCATGCAGTGAGGCCAGGTTTCTCATCCTCATCTTCCTAGTTTTCAAATCTGCACGCAATATTTACAGATTTTTGTAAAAAGAATTTTGCTAACTGGGGTGAAATTTGCATGAGTAAACAGTGGAAACTGCAGTGAGAAATAAAAAGCTTACATCAGTGGTGTAATGTGATGTCTCAACAGCCCCAAAAAAACGGAATTACGCACCTAACTAAAGCAATTATAAATACAATAATCAGTGTCCCTAGTTTTGTTTGTAGGAAAATCAAGAATTCTTTTAAGATGGCAAAACAAAATCAAAGGATTTTAAAGCTTTGGTTTACCTCAGGTAAAGTAATGCACAAGCAGCTGAATTAGCTAAAGGAATGGAAATGCCCAGGAGAAAGAGTTTTAGAGGCAACAGGAGCCTTTAAAGAAGAATTCCTGCTAACTAGGAGAAGTTGTTGCAAGATCTGCAGGAAGTTGAGTGAAGATGTCTGTGGTTTCTTGTTCCTATCCCCTCCATGCTTATTATTCAGTCTCCTCCACCACACTAAACCCTGGATTAACTGTATGCTGCACACAAGCAAGTGTTAAAACTCTGTGGTAGGTAGTTGGAAGGAACGAGCACTTTAAGAAAGAAAAGAAGAATATCATAAAATAATAAAAAAAAATACTAGTAATCAGTAAATTGTCTATCATCTAATAGCCCTACATCATAGATTTACCCTGAAGGCTTCTCAGAACTCAGGCTTCATACAATGTTATGTTTACCCTCAGATTGGTTAATAGTTGGTCATTCTCCTCCACAGCACACACTCACCCACCCCTTACCTCTAATCCAGTAGGCAAATATATAAATCTTGAAATCATGCAGAGGTCTTTAAATTCTTTTGAGTGGGACTATCAAGGACATTTAGGTCTCACATTTAGATGCCTGGCAGAAAATGTCAGTAGACAAAAAGACTTGAAATGCTTGACAAGGATGCATCTATCAGAGCACAGACTGACAACCACTGCCCTGGTTTAGACATAGTTTGTAGGATCAGGTAATGCTGGATGCCAATCTCTTATCCACAGTAATAACAAGGTGATCTCACCTGAGATTTCTTTTTGTGAATGTGAATATCTCCTCCATCAGAGCGTGTGCACACAGCACATGTCACCACATAATCCAGCTAAAACAGGGCACCAGATAAAGAAATACAGGTTTAGAGTTAGAAAAACAAAACATTCATGTGCATGAAGCAGAACATGTTCTGTCTTTAATTTTTTAAGCTGTCTGCCTAAACAGTAAGATGTTTAGGTGTTGCCATTTTCTTTATTTGCTTTGCTACACTGAAACTCCTACAATTTTCAAGCTTGTGTTTATTAACCCAGTGATAGTAACTCAACAGAGATGCTTGTTGAGGTGCACAACTGGTGGGTGAAGAAACACCTGTCAATGTTGTTTAATGCTAGCTTACTGGCAAGCTGGAGGAACAAGCATCACACACACACACAAGCATACTTGGAGGTAGAAATGGAAAAACTACTCTCCCTTTGAAGAGGAAAAGCCAGAACCACAAATGAACACCAGCAACACATTAGAGAGGTCAGAAGCTATTAATGTAGCCTGCCAAACAACCTCAAAAAACCTGTAAGGGGCAAGAGTAATAGCTCTGGACAGCAAAGCCCAGTTATAACAGCATCTCTGAATTCTGTGGTAAATAGATTCTGGTTTTATTCAGCATCAAATAAATGCAGAAACTGCTCTCTGCAGAGAAGTTCTGCAATTACACTTTTGGGAAGAAGCAAAGAGAATGAAAACAATTTATTTTCCAGGATGTGTGCAATGAGCCAACAGTGTCTCATTCTGAGATCATTATCAACAAAACTTTTAAGGGATCTCCAATTACTAGAGCAACATTCAGCTTCCCTAAGCACCAATGTAACATATGAAATAACTGAACAACCTGTGAGTTAATTAAAAAAATAATTTGTACTAGCTTCGTGTTTGCATCACCACCAAAAAAAGTTTTATTAAAGTTCTGATGTCAAGACCAGCAAACTCCCAGTGTGCCACATAACACCTTTACCACATTTCCCCTGAGCAGTTCCCTCTCCTAGCTCCACCGGTATTATGAATGCTAATGGAAAAGTTGCTTAACAGTTTTGTTCACTCTCAAAAACTATGTAACTTGGCAAAGCCCTTGTTTTTGCAAACCTGTTACAGAGTGTAAAATTCAGCCCAGCTTCATTGGGTATATTTAAAGTTTTTTGAGAAAAACTATTAGGACACTACCGAAAAATAAACATCTCAGTTTATGTCAGTTTAGACTCTGAAAGGAAAAATTAATACCCTATTTTCTTTTATCCTCCAGAAGTGTTCAAATCCCCCAAACTAGGCAGGAAAGGGGACAAAGATTCCAAGAAACCTCTCTAGCATATATATCCCATGAAAACTAGAAAAGCATCACAGTTACCTTCTGTAGGATGAGGTTCAGGTAGACACTCTCTTCCCAGTCAATGTCAGGGTCTCCCAGGCCAGGAAGTTTCTTAGAATCTCTCCGGTAAACTTCAACTTCAATCTGCTAAGAAAATACCATGTCTCCTTGAAAAAAATATTGCCTAAAGGTATTTTAATGCATACATAAAACTGACACCAGGAGCTGCATGTTGTGTATCTTCCAGCTGTATTTTTCTGTCAGGACTGGATTTTGTTGACTGTGGAAGGTTTTGCATGGAAGAAGTGAAGCTGGGGGGACAGGGGATGTGAAGGAGTACAGGCAAGAAAGGCAGGTCTGTGCATGGACACCTCAGTTTTGGAAGCAGCTTCATTTATTCCTCATGATGGACATGTTCTAGCAAAAATAAGATAAATCAAATTTCTGCTCCACACACTTACGTACTTGTCTTAACATGCTCCCTTGGAACCATACGTGTCACCAGACTAATGCTTATCATTGACTAGCAGATGAAAAATCCCAAATAATCCCAAAAAAGCTCTACAGGATAACAAATTGAAGCAATTGAGATAAATATAAAACTTGACTTGACGTAGTACACAGAATGTAATACAAAATAGAGTGACAAGTATCACACTTACCAAACATCAGAGCAATGCACTAAACTCTGACAGAAGACCTGGGAAAGCATTTGTTTGTCAAGGACCTTTTTTTGTTAATATAACAACATACTTTGACAGGTGTTTAAGAAATATCTAGAATTCTGTGACCAGTTGATACCACTGCAAATAGAGTAATTCATTAACTTTTTTTGCTTTGACTGGGGCAGAGAAAGTGGGTAAAGCTGATTTGCTAGAAAACAGATAGTCATGGAAGCCAGAATATGTGAAAGAAATCAAATGGAGTAAGATTAAGCCCTTAAAGTGACTGTATTCAACTCCTCTGGGAAGCATAAAGCTACAGGACTACAGTATAATGAAGAACAGTGAAACAGTACAATATTTCAGGATTGACACCATCATCAGTTAACATGAAAACTGAATGTACTGTTTTCTGTAATTATTTTTTTTTACTGACAAATATATTTTAAAAATGCCTCGTACATCATCATTCCCTTGTTTTGTTTCTATTCCTTCTAAAGTTTCTAACCATGAATTTTCTATTGGCAATATAATTGCACAAACTAATGAGAATTCCTGTAAAAAACTAAGATGTGAGCAGCCAAGGGAAATAATACAATTGAAAATAATCTCTAATTAAGTAAAGGTGATATTTGTACTTCCATGCCTAAAAGCCTAGAAACATCACTTTCACAAGATTCCAAAAATACCCCATGAAACAAAAGCCATCCTGTCTCTGCAGGAAAGATGCAGCAAGAGGACTAAGTGAACGTAAGACTGAGCAACTGCAGGGTAAAATTCCAGCCCTAACACCAGGGTAAGAGAGACCAAGTGCCCAGCAGACACCACACCTCAGCCTCTTCTGCCTCCATATCCACAGAACTTTTATTTCAATCCAGGCAGTTTAATAATCTCTTAATGACAAAGTTCAAATCTTCCTTTGCAGAATTCAGCCACTATTTTTTCCTGCTGGTGAAATGAATTCCTATGCTGAACTACTCCCCCAGCAATTACAAAGCCATTGCACAACTCTCTCACAGAACAACCCCAAGCCCTGTAACAGATAATGACAGAAAAAGGGTCTTTCTTTAGTCACTTTCCCCTATACTCTAATATAGGGTAGCACTCCTGGGCAGTACAAATCACCACCATGGCTCTTCCCTGAGCCAGGTACTAAATCTACACAGTATTCCAAAGGAAATTAATGTATGGAATTTAAGGAATTCATTTTTTTTTGCCAGGCAATAAATGGCACAGGCTACAGATCTCTCTGTTCAGCAGGTCATACCAGGCAGGACAGAGGTGACCTCTTCCCAGAGAAAAAGAAGCCATCAGCAGCCAGAAGTGGCAGAGGCAGCAGCACTTGTCTCACCCCTGAAGCAGAAAATGGACTTCCAAATGCCCTCCATGGTGCTGGTATCTGCTGGATGTGCTTTGCAGCTCTTGGTTGTGTTCAGATAAGCATCAGGGGAACAAACCAGCCTCACTCAGCATTAGGGCAGTAGTTGGACCAAGAAGCCAGTAGTTTTGGATGCCTTATTTTCTCCACTACAGAAGAAGGATCTGCTTTATAAAACACAACAAGCCCTTGCCAGGGTGTTCTAACAAGCAGCACAGCCACTCCCCACCTGAATGGTAACGTGATTCACTGTGCAGGCATCCAAGTTACAAATTACTTTTGAAAAAATCTCACCTCTGATCTCATAAAACACCTCTGCAATATCTCTTTTACTAATTTCTAAACATTTCCTCCAGAAACAGCATCCATACAGTATCTTGGCATAAAGCAAAGTGTTAGATCTGGGTTGGCTTAAGCAGCACTTTCCAGGGGCTCAATTTCCCATGCAAGTGCTATGGCTCACAAATTAATCTCAGTCACCTTCCACTGACAGGGTGTCAGGCAGGTGAATGTGGCCATGTGATATTATATGAAATAAATCACCAGCCTTAGTTCGATGCATAGCAAATGATCCCGTTGCCACTAGCCCACTGTGCAGTCTTGGGTGGGGCCAAGGACATAGGAAATGCTGGGGCTGACTCCATTTAGACCCTGCAGTCACCTGCTCAGAATTAGCCAGTAAAAGCCAAACCAATAGTTAAATAATTAAACAAACAAATAAATAAATAACTCATACAAAGAACTTTAAACATGAATTTTCACCATTCCATACATCTTAATCACTTGTTTAAAATCAGCAATCTAGATTTCTTGGCAGGTTGAACTCATTTGCCCATGTCCCTAGGAAGCTTGCTCAGCATCTGTACATTTATCTTCCTGGTACTATGTACAAGCACCATATATGCCAAGAACACAAAATCAAAGCCTGAAGCCTCAGAAAGCCCTATTACTCAGGCTCCTTATGTGCAAAAAGTTGCAGCTGTAAGAGCCCACAAACACTGTAGAAGTAGACCTTTAACTGTCATCAAGGGATTTTCTTTAGTTACAGTGAATAAATTCAAGAGAATGTAGGCATTCAGGATTGACAGCATGGGACACAGAAGACCCACATGTTCTCTGTTCTGACCCTTAAGTGCTTAGACTTCAACAAATAATGGTGCAGTCAAAATCTCAGTGAGTGCCCAGTTAAAGAAACCATTACATGAGTTAGGTCGGTGTTATCAGAGCTGAGAACAGTGTTCCCTGTATGAAGGGAAATACCTGCCTTACAGAACTGTTGCCTTATTTTTATATGGAAATTGGATTGTAAATGTGAGCCTAATTGTTCTTAATATATAAAAATAATATATGTGTAAATAAAAATATCATTTCCTAGGACATCTTATGCTTTTCTTTAGACCATGCTTTTGTGATATTCTGGGCTTAATTCATGTTGTTTTGTTTGGCCTTCCGGAGTTAAGAAATTATACAGACTGGAGAACATGCTGGATTTCAGACAGCTGAGTCCTCCCAAGAAAATGAGTCTATCAGCAGGGATCCTGGAGACACTGGGTCTTTTTCCAGGTCTGCTGCTGATTCACTTGGCCATGCCTCACCTCTGTGCTCCTTTATCTGGCTTTAGATTAGATGAGCCTTCCTGCTAGCATGAAAATCTATTAATAGAAAGAACTAAGTAAATACTAATTATTTATTCCCAGTGAAATCCAAAAACTAACCTGGGTTTCTTCATTCGAGTTGATGACTCTTCTACAGTTTCAACAAGCCATAATTGCCACATTTATGAAGTTTACACTGGCTTACCAAGATAAGGCTGTAAGGGGGAATTACATCAGCTAGGCTGACCTACGTGTCACAGACATTTTATCTTGTTACTTCTTCACAAAACCCAGTTAATCACATTTGACTAGACAGTGCCTGGGAAAATACCTTATTTCGGGAACTTGTTCCAATGATTAATCATCCTCTTGGCTGAAAGTGTACAACTTCATTTAATTCAGCTGCTTTCCTTTTTGCCAGTCTGGCTCTCCTCATGTCTATCTCTACTATACTAAGAAGATCTTTAATGCTAGGCTTCTGGTTTGTTTGCGTTTTTTGTTGTTTTGTTTGGGGTTTGGGGGTTTGGTTTTATTTTGTTTCATTATTATTTAGCTTCTAGATCAACCAGACAAAATTCCTTTAGGAAGTCTCATAGCAGGGCAGCTCTGCAGATCTTGTGCTCCTTTTGCATCTTTCAGTTTTATCAGTACTGGAATCTTCTGGTACTGCTACTGCGCTGGTATACACACTTACTGCTCCCTCAGGATTACACTTTTTCTGCACAGCAACGCAATAATATGCTAAATAACTTACATTATGTGCCTTGCCTGTCATTTCCAGAGCCAGTTATGCACCCCTGGCACTGAAGTATTCAACTAGCCTAACAAATGGATTCTCATTTCCCAGGGATCAGGCTGTGCAGTCCAGTGGTCACATCCTCCTCATTATTTGTGCAGCACCAGTATGTGCCATTGGCAAATCTGAATCCACTCTGATTCCGTAACCCCAGTGACCAGTTCCTGCAGAGCCACCACACAAACACCTCTGCCTGGTGTAGTTTCCCCCTTGTCTCGCTCCATTTTGCCACTCTTTTGAGCCAAGACCCCTACCATCATTCTGCTTATTCTCAGCCTGTTTATATTCCACACGTGGCAAATGTTCTGGCTACCTTCTGCATACTAGTCAAGCTAGTTAACGTGCATTGTTTCTGAAACTGCTGTCAGGAGCCATCACCTGCACAAAAGGAACACCCTGAGCGCAAAGGAGCAAAGCACCTATTGTCAGTGATGTATTTTATTCATAAAAATATGCCTTTCAGAGATGTATACATCATGGACTTGTTGTTTTAACAAAATAACTGAAGTCATACAAAATCTATAAAGTTACAGAGAGATGAAACGTTTTTAACAAAAACCAGAGAAAAAACCAACAACAACAAACAAAACTGAGATCCCATTCTAGGCTTAAAATCTTTGTGATAAACTGGGTGCTTTTTCACTATGTCTATTTGCACCCCAAAATTTCCCACATGATTCATTTAAAAATGTATATTAATAATACGAACACTAGGA